ATTTGAAGTAAAATCCTAATATATTCTCATGAAGACGTTTAACCTTCCCTACTCTGAAAACATCGTGAAGCTTAATATTGGCATGTGAAAAAAGGTATGGCACCTCATTACAACAGGAGGTGTTGAAGTAACCACCCCTGGATTCAACACAAGCCCGTACTCTACGCCACAAAGATTAATTGACTCTTTGGAAAGTACCTACGAATAGTGTTGAAAGCTATCTGTATGCTTTGTCCTCATCTTCGTGTCCGAGGCTGCTAACGATTTGTGATATCTTCTCTGTTTGGGCAAAGCTCAATGAATGGTAAGCTTCTACGCTACTGATGGAGGATAAGACCCGGATATTATTCAGTTAATGTTGTAATGAGGTACCATAGCTTTCTTCACTTGCCATATACTGTTTCCAATATGAAGCCTCACGTTGTTTTCAGAATAGGATGAAAATTTTAGGATTCTTGTTCCGTCCTAAATGTGTTCAAAACGAGTGATTTGACAGAAGTTCCTCAAGAAACGAATTTTTGGAAAAATCGAATGGTTATTTATATTATGCACTTCTTTTCTCCGAAAAGGCCAGTGGTGTCGACAATATAGCATAGGGCTCCAGGTTGCGCAGTTTTTACGTCCCTGGTTTAGCTTGGGCCGGAGAACTCTGTGTGTTTATTGTTATTGATGTGCTTACTGGACACCTGAAATCCTAACTCAGTATCTTTAAACGCTCCGTAGATATATTTTTTCAATTTCGTAAATGAGACTTCATCACCCTGTATCTCGGTAGGTTAGCATATTTGTATCCATATAATTTTTTTGTTATTTGGATGTACTTTATAGTCTAGAAATATTGATACGTCTTTCTGTAACACCCTGTTTAATTGAAACTGGAGAGAGAGAGAGAGAAAATTTAAAAATAATTATGCTCTTAATAAGCAATTCTTATAGGATTTCTTGGAGCAGTTGCTAATAAAGTTTTGGTCAAATGAATATATTGGATATTCTTAACCAATTCGTGGTAGCTATTGAGTGACAAACGTGATCGTACCTTCTTAAATTGTTTATACACCTATAGCGGTATTTTATTATTTCGTCCAGAGAGTAAGCTACTTTACTCAGTATTAAAGGCTCACACACATTTTCTCAATTTTTATATTCAATATTTGTACATGAAGTCGTAGGCTGAGATAACTAGACTTACACACATGGCTAACATGCTTCTGGAACCTGACATCTTCATCCAAGTATAAATCTAAATTCTTTGCGGAAATGGCAACCTTCGCTCTATGCGGGCCCATTTTAGGGCGAATTTAATTCGACTATATCTGTTCAATCAGCGTAGAATAAAACGAGGATTTAAATGAAGCAGATCCGTTTTCTGGTAGTTACACGCAAGAAACGAAAATTGCTAGAAGGACCGACCCTCAGAACCAGCAGAGAGCATCGTGCTTCCTTTGATCAATTTCAACGTGTCTCATCTTTCTATCTCTATTTGTACAATTTATTAAACGAAGCGCAGAAAGTATCGCTGCGAAGTGCACAAAGCTCAGAATTTCCAGATTCGTAGAAACGAGGCGATATGACACAGTGTATTTCTTGCACGTGCCAAATTAGTAGGTATACTCTAACGATTCGTAACGAGCTTTAGAAGAAATAAAGTAGCAGCCATTGAATCGAATGAGCAAATCGCGTCGATGTCAAGGCATGGCAGAGGTTTACAGGGTGTCTCATCGCTTATGGCCTCAATTATCTGTGACATGCGACATAGCGACGCGCCATATCTTGCACTTGACCAATCGTCAGGTGCAGTCACTAGCTTTAGAACTTGATTGCGACACGACACAAACAAAGGTGTGCCCACGGGAGGAGCAAGGGCAGTTGCCCCCCTTTTCCCTAGCTCGGTAAGAATTAAATGGAGAGAGCTGAAAAATTAAATTATTCATTCAGGCTTCTTCACAGGCTGAATCAATATCTATGTTATTAGTTGAAAAATTACTAGGATTAGTTGAAATCTATGTTAGATATAAACTTAATTTTGCTAAAAGCACTACATATCTTACGTGCGTTTCAATTTTAAACATCGCCTTTGGGATCTCGGAAACGGTAAAACGAATGTCACACGATCAGTATTTACTGTGGTCCGTACCATCAGTGGATTTCTGCGTAACATTATGCATCAATAATTACTGACGTCGAGGCCACACACGGTCAATATATATCATGATAAATATATTGACGGATCACAGTAAATACTGATTTTGTGATATTCGCCTAAACGATGCGGAGTACTTTATGGGGACAAGTTACTTAGGTAAGTGAATAATGGAACTTGGACAGTTTGGATATTCAAAGTGTTTAGGAATTTACTCTTTATTTTTCCTGGACTTAGACAGAAACACAACTTCTCAAACACCCAAATTGTCTACCAATTTCAAACAAGTTACAATACCACTTTTTCTCGTCTAACCGGTGGCATAATTAGAATTTCTATCTGACGTTTCAGCTCTCGGTTTTTTAAAGCTACACCGTTTTAGAAGTCTTCATTATTATTATTACCTTGTAGTCTAATCATATTAGACGCAAATACCCCTGTTTTACGAAATAACTGGTTTTATTGGTGCAACTTGTTCAAGGGGGTATTGAAAACATGGACGCATAAAATGGGTACATCAATTTTTGTGAGAAAACTTTTTATTCAACAACAAAGAATAAGGAAAGGTGTTTTTTGGGATTCAATCGAAAGTGTTGGCAGGGACGAGAAAACTCTTTGTATAGGATTTTTAGGTATTTACGAGACCTACAAAATGAGACCACACTTACAAAGATCAGACTAATAGCAAAAAAGTTATGGCCGAAAACCGAGGCAAACTGCAGATTTTAGCACTTGTTGGTAATGCAACGATGGTTTCTTGCAGTTATTTGAAGTTCTTCAAATTCGTAGGATTCGTACTTCTACAACAAATTTGGAGTAGATTGGTCCAGTAGTTTTTGAGAATTTCTAATTGTTTATCCAAAAACACCTGTTTTCCGGCCATCACTACTAGTTTATTGAGGGTCCGTTCAAAGAGCATTTAATAGCAAAATACACGTGTTTACCTTGCTAATATGAATCACAAACCATTCCGAAAAATAAATGTTATTTTTATGCGAAAAACAAAGGTTTTGCCAAAACCTGCATTTTGCCTCGTTTTTCGGCCATAACATTTTTGCTGTCAGTCGGATCTTTTCACGTGTGGTCTCATTTTGTAGGTCTCACAAATACCTAAAAATCTTATATGAAAAGTTATTTCGTTCCTGTCAACACTTTCGATTAATTCCCAAAAACACGTTTTCTCATTCTCTGTTGTCAAATAAAAGGTTTTCCCACAAAATTATTTCGGGAAACTTTGTTAATATGATGATGATTATACTATTGTCAGTGTATTAGATGTTAGTAAGAACTACTACAAAATACTCCGTATTTCTAATATGATGTCACCCACAAAGGTATAGCTGACCTCATTAGTACAAGCAGGGTCTAATACCCCATTGGAACTATCGGGGAACTACTGCATCTAGGTGCGATTCGGCCATTATCTCATTAGAAATGTTGATACCCCTTTGTCACTGTCACAAGCAAAATATTTTGAGAACTAGATGAATTCACAATACACAGAGTGATATATAGAGCTTAAGAACAGAGATCAATGGAAAAGAAATGGTTAAAGCAAGAAGAAAAAAACGTCTGAGTCAAAAACGAACGTATTGGCCTTGAAACTACATGTGATAATAGCTATACAGGAGTTGATGCAGTCGATAAAATCAAAGAAGAAAATGAATAACGCATGAGAGTAATTGTTCAAAATCATGTCCTTTTGCGAGAAAAGGAACAATACAAAGTTGATGAAATGAAAATAAAACATTACAAGAACGCTATGATGCAAGAGAAAAAAGTAATGTAATGAAATGTTTGGCAGACATAAAAGAAAGTATTAAGATAGTTGAAACGAAAAACGCTAGCTCTAGACGATGTAGTCAAGTCGTGGAACAAAATTATCTTAGCAAAATTGGAAGCAAAAATTGGTGCTATCAAACATACCAGGAATGGAGTTGTTGAGTTAAAATTTTAATAAAGATAAATTCGTGTACTGAAAAACGAGAATCAAGAAAAGCTGCAGATGAAACTTGAGTTATAGAACAGAAGAAAATCCTTTCTGGAGTCAAGATCGTTTGTTTCAGAAGTGAAGATCCATCTAGTACAACAGATATTAAAGAGAGTATAGTTAGGCAGAATATGTTGATTCAGAAAGAAGATATTAATGTCACCCAAATTAGAAAGAATCGTATAAATAATTATTACACGATTTTTGCAGAAGTAAATTGAAAAGCTTATAAACATATTATAGATAAAAATTTTACTAGGCTGGCAAAATTTAAATGCGTACGGTAGTAACCACAGACTGTAGTAACCAAATTTTACAATGTAATAATTGTTTCCGATTCCACCAGATATCAAAAAAATTTAGAAATAGAGCAGTCTGTTTCAGATGCGGAGACGAACATGAAACCTTTATTTATTCTACTTTGATTTATTTAATTGGTCTGATGTAGTATTTATTAACTATATCGATGATGAAATACGTTTACACACAGATAATATTATAAAACTATTTGATATCCATACTCCTTATGTAACAAAGCTTTAATTACCGTGGCTTATACGAAATTTGCGTTGATTGAAAAAAAAGCGAGACAAAGCTCTATCGCAATCAGAATTCAGACTTCCAATATAAGAGAGATACCTGGTGGAATAACTGAGGTTAATCTTATCAATGATTACCTTGCATCTGTTTTTAACTCGACTGATTTAGCATGTGAGGATGAAATTAAGCAGTAACTAAATCCAAAGCCCACTAATCAATCAAGTCTTAGTTGAATAACTATCAATACACATTATGTTTTTGATGCTATTAATAAAATAAAATCTAATGCTCGAGGCGTGGATAGCTTACCTGTTCCAATGATAAAATTATGCCTCCCAGCCATTTCTAGTTCCCTGGCCCACGTTCTAAATTGCTGCCCAGAAAAAGGATATTTTTCCCCAATTATGGAAAGTGTCACTAGTTATGCCACTTCCTAAAACCAACAATCCAGAACAAGTTAGTGACTTAAGACCTATCAGCCTTTTACCAGTTCTTTCCAGAGTATTAGAGAAAGTAATCTACAAAGAAGTTTTGTACTTGTTACTAACAATATTTTAAATTGCCTTTATTCGATTCTTTTACATACATAATATGTCCAACATACAGCAATAGGCGTTGCCTGAGGAGCAGCTCGGTTATCGAAAAAGACGTAGCACTTCTTCTGCATCTGTTGTAGTTGAAATAATCTCCAATTTGATAACAACCTGGCAACAGTTCTTGTCTCTTTTGATTTTAGTAAGGCATTCGACACGATAAGCCATCATCTACTTCTATCCAATTATCTTGGATTTGATAAACCAGGAGACAGCAACAGGTGGGTTCTGAGAACAAGTATTTAGTAATATTTCTTCAGGGGTACCGCAAGGTTCAGTCCTAGCGCCTCTGTTATTCTTAATATATACATTGGCTTTGGTCGTCAAAATTAAAAACTCGAGTGTAACTTGTTATGCCAATGATTCTAAATTATTGTTAAGTTTTCCATCTGATCATTTCAAAATCGCTGAGGCTAGAATTACTACTGTTCTCGAAAGCGTTAATAACTATTCTGCTATTAATAACATGAAACTCAAAACTCAAAAATTAAATGTTGTACTGTTTTGCTAGAAATAAAAACGGAGATATCTAGAAGCAAGCTTGAGCCTGAAAATAAGCAGCACAGATTTAAAATTTAATCATGTATAAAAAAGTTTGGGTCTGCTCATAGACGAAGACCTACGTTTTCACACGCATGTTAACAGCGTCATCAAAACATGCTAGTTTAGGCTGAAAGTATTAAAGGGTGTTTCAATAAGGAGGCAATATTTCAAGGTTCTATTAAACATGGCATTTCGTAACAGACAGCTGAAATATTTATTGGATTATGGTGTATACACTTTGGAATTATGTATGAAACAACACATCAGGTTAATGGCTGCTCAGCTGGCACATGCGCACTCTGTTATCGTGGTATCTCGTTGACACAGCGTCTGATCTCAGCTTCCAATGCTTCCGTGGTTGCAGGCTTGTTGGCATAACCTTATGACCTCAGATAACTCCAAAGGTGTTAAACGCAAGAGCGTGGCGGCCAATTCTGGACACCAAACCGGGAGATGACTCGACCAGGAACAAACTCTTGCGAAACTGCCAATGTTTCATAAGGAGTATGGCATCCTGGTGAAACCATATGCCATTAAGAGCCTTGAGTTCAAATTGTGGCACAAAAAACTTAGTCATCATTACACGATAACGTTCGCTATTTACTGTTAATGGATTACCCGCCTAGTCCTCAAAGAAAAACGGTCCAATAATTAATCCAGACCATAGTACACACCAAACAGTGACACGTTTTGGATGCATAGCTTTCTCATGAATTACTCTTGGATTCTCTGTGACCCAAATGCGGCAGTTTTGTCTATTGACGAAGCAATCGAGATGAAAATGGGCCTTATCACTAAAAATGATTTTGTCTACAAAATCACCATTCACATACTGTTGGCCAAGGATCCAATTGCTAAACTGTCTTCGCTGTGCATGGTCTGTTGGCAATTAGACCTTGGCATGCAGGTGTAAATCTTGCGTTAGTATACGCTGGAGAGTGGCTTTTTAATGTCCAATTCTTGAGCGCGATGACGAATCGACGTCCCTGGACTCTCGGCTACATACAGAACCAGTACTTTCAAATTTTTGGATTATTCTTTTCACAGTGGATGGAGTAGGAACATTATTCCGACCGAATATTAGCTGCACTTTTCGTATCGTGACAATTAAACTTTCACCACTTTGGTAATACTTTTTAACAATTAGGATTCACTGTTCTATTGTGTAACGATTCATTTTCATGAACTCCCGCCTGTCTACTATCGATCTGTCATGTCACAATCATTATGACATTATGACTGCCAAAATAGCGCTAAATTCAAATATTACGCTCTTATTGATACACTCTTTATATACCAAACAAATATATATTAGAGTACAATGGATTTGGATTCGATTTGATACTCGGAATCGCAGAAGTAGTTCAACGGATTGGATGTTATCGAACCCGATCCAGTGATTCACCGACACAGAGAGAACTCAGCGTAGAGTTGTACTTGGGGCGGCTAAAATCGGCATTGGACGCGGGCGTTCAAATAAATAGCGGCGGGCCTGACTATATACTTACTTTAGACGTTTTTTTATATATTTCTAAACATTGGTTGAGTAGATTTTCCAATCATGGCTAGACTCCCCCATTTGCATAATACGTCTTAATGTTATGCTGTGATGCTAATGATCCAATTAAGACATATTATTATTATTATTATTATTATTATTATTATTATTATTATTATTATTATTATTATTATTATCATTATCATTATTATTATTACTATTATTAATATTATTATTATTATTGCACTTAAATAATATAAATGAGTTACATTATGTTATTCCTCATTTAATGACCTTGAACCAACTATAAGAAGTTAGACACTTGAAGTTTTATATCAGTGTGTAACATGTTATCATCTTTGATATTATACAGGGTGCGGCAGAGAGGACGGACGTTTTTGGGATGGGTAGTCTTCTCCGCCTCCGTTTACGAGAGAGGTGGGGAGGGTGCCGTTTGACTCGTGAGATCCTAGCATTATTTTACCAGTTGTTATGGAGCCTTGGACGGTGGAGCACCGCGTTTTCGCCTATGATTGTTAGAGCTATTCCCTCTCGAAACACCATCCTTCGTTGGGTTGAATCACTTCACAGGCGTGGTGAACTGATCAACAAAAGACCAAGAGGAGCGACGCGAACAGTTCGAACTCCTGAAAATGTTGAACGCGTTCAACAGGTCTTTCTTCGCAGTCCGACTCGATCTGCCCGGAAACATGCTGCTGCACTTCGCCTTAGTGATCGTTCGGTAAGGCGAATTTTGCATATGGATCTCCGCTTTCACCCGTACAAATTGGCCATTGTGCAACAGTTACAGCCCGGAGATTATGCACAACGAATGAACTTCGTACGTGAGATGGAAGCACTGATCGATCAAAATGAGAACCTCAAGGCTAGAGTGTACGCGAACAAGCCCCGAACTCTGGACGAATTGAAGGGCGAAATTCGCGTGGAAGTCGCCCAAGTTGAGAGAGCGATGTTGGAGAGAGTCTACGCGAACTTCCAAGAACGCTTCCAGTACTGCATCAACGATTTCGGCCACCACATGCCTGATGTGATTTTCCACACTTGACTGTCTCAAATGCTATTTCCTTGTGAACCTGATTCCATCAATAAATTTGTTTTCGAACAAAAATTAACTTTTTTATGATTTTTTTAAAACCGTTCATCCTCTCTGCCGCACCCTGTATAAAATAAATGACTACATTTTAATTTCCAGGCTTACTCAGGATTTTTTTATGAATATGTATTATGCTATAATATTTAAAATAAGAATTAAAAGGTACTCCCCTATGCAACAATGGCATACATCAAAAATCAAAGTTGAGACTGAGGATAGGAGCCGAAAACAGCATACCTACTAATGTTCTATTTATGTCACCATGCAGAGATCAAAAAGTGGTATTGTCAATGTGCAGTTTATTTCGAAATCCTATCTAAATATAGAAAAGAAAATATAAATGGATTTGGGAAAATTCGTTAGCTTTTCCGTGTATCTCTAGAGATACTGCAAGCGTCAAAACTTTTCAAATGCATTTTTTCAAATATATAAATACGCAACTTTGCCACTCTTCAACCGACCCGAAAGTGTTGCTTTCAAATATTACAAACGACTAAGTTATTAATTAAAAAATAATCTCGAACAATGTTTGCTTGAATGTGAGAAAGCAATCCTAGTAGCTTTCTGTATCCATATGAATTGTCAAATCGTCGAGGAAGACTCTATATGAATGAAATGCGAATAGAAAGAAAGATGTCAAGCATGTAGATATGATTTGTGCAACTTGCACCAAAAAATTTTTTGTATCGCCCTGCGACACGAGGTACCTTTTGCTTAGTAGGTATGGAGTCCTAAAGCACATACTCGTAGTCTCATACCTTGTGAGCTGAAAATTGTTGTCAGAGATGGCGTAAAACATTTATTACTCATATTGTATCCTCTCTTTATTCTTTGAATGTGCAGTACAGGGTAGTCAAAAATGCAACACGAACTTTTAGTCAAGGATATAAAACACCCTATATATAGTTTCACATTTTTTTATTCTGATTTTCACAACCTTTTTTCTATACGGTATTCATATATGAAGTTTTTGAGTTATTTGTTTGTAAATTGTTCATGAATTGCACACTATTACAAATACCGGATTATCCATGCAAACAAAAATATAGCAGATGTAATTAATTATTATTAACTAATTCTCTAATTCATTAAAACTAAGGAATTAAAGCATGTTTCTGGTAAAATTGAACACCAAATGATGGATTTTGGAAATAAAGTAAATTGTATGTTGAAGAGTGACAGCAACAATTTTTTTAATCCTAAATTATATCATGCATGTCGGATTGGCAGATTAACAAACAATTATCAAATTATTTTACCAACTCACAAGCCATGTACAAGGACTTACACCCTGCTTTGAGTGACATCTGATGATTGCACCGAACACTAATGTCTTTTATTTATTTATTTTTTATTTAGTCAATACTCATCATTCTAGATGACGCAGCTTAACTTATTTTTCCAAATACTTGTAAAGAGAATTATGAAAGTTGCACTGTCAGCGAAAAGTAATTTGATTTAAATTTAAAATAGTACCCAGGTAATTAACAGAAGAGATTAACAGAACAGAGCGAGAGTGCCCGTCGAGAGATACCGATATATCCACGGTATCGGCACGACTATCACGTATCTTGAAAAGTGACATTATGCCGATTTTTCGATTTTTTTTGACATTATGCTGTTTTTTTTTACATTATGTAGGTTATTCTACAAGATGTTAACTTAGCGCTTAGTTGCCTAAACGTCATGAGGCTTGTTATCAGTCTTTGGCTCTGATGTGATGTAAAATATGCTTCTGAGATGGCATTACTGGAGGTCCAAGCTGTAAGTTGTATGTGTTGAGGATAATTACATTGGGTTCTTGTCTCAAACTGAGATTCAAAGCTAGTTGCGCATCCATTTTTTCTTATCCATTCTAGAAATTACATATACAAATTTACTGAATTTCAAAAATGAGAGAAATCAGAAATAATTATACAGTACACTGTCAAAGTACAAGCCATGTAAATGCTAACAGTAATTACACACAACGCGGGCGCAGTGATGATTTCCCGTAGTTCTCCTCAGGTTTTCGTAATTTATAACTTTGAACATAACCTCTATTCAGAAAGCACAGCATATAAATAACCCGTCATATTCAGCACATTCAGTGATGATTTTCTCACACAGCAAATATCACTGATTTTATACACTCGTGCAGACCAGTACACGTACTCATCCAGATGCGATCTTGCTATTCAACCAACGTTTTTCTCAGAGATAAAAACTATAGACACAAAACTATGCAACCAATAATGCGTGTAGTTCAGTTGAGTCGTTCCTCCATAAATGGACGTTCACAACGATCCTAGTGAGTAAACGAGAAATGACTGTTTGCGCTCTAAAAACTACCTAGTCTGCAAGTTGACATCTTTTAGGTTTTTTTTTGACGTTTTATAGGTTTTTTACATGATACCCGTGCGGAGCCTCCTTGAGGCATAGGTTATGCAGCTGACATCAGGGAGAGACTAAAATCGTCAAACATCCTAGAAGTTGTCTGTAGTGATCTGAAAGGGGAGCATTTGGACCTGTTGAACCCCAAGAACGCAACTAGACAAAACTATATACTGGGAAGCTTAGCAACAAAATTCAAAACTCGAAGAATATGTCATCAAAATAAGTAGAAAATGAGAACAGGGAAAGAGGCCTACAGGTCATGTCCTCGTCTGCGTCCTGTTTGGACGTAAGGTAACAGATGTTTATCGAGCTATTTGAATGGATGTGTATCCATCCTCGCAGCCCCCCGAGTCTATTGGTTATTTTTTATCCAATCGACAATCATCAACATTGCGCACAACTCATTAAACATTATTTTGATTATCCATGCCATATAAAGTAAATGGTTTAGATAAAACGGAACTATATTTTATATAATACATTTATACACAATACATATTTTACAAACATTTGTGTACAGATGAACTTATCTGTTTTAGTAAGCAAGTAGGTATAGGTTGCCTTGCTTTTGGTAGATTTAATAATGGCATCGAGGATGTGGATATTTATTCCACATGTAGTTGTCGAACGATCTATTTTGTGAGGCATTTGGAAATATTGCAAACTATGGAAATGAATTGGAATCAAAATTTTTTATGAGGCAAACATAGTAACAGAATTTATAGGTACCTATCAATAGATTTGACCTCATTTTTTAAATCTTAAGCATTTACCTACACGCTTATTATATGTTGTATACTATTTTACAGAATAAAAGTGGTAAAAATTTAGAAACTATATGTTTTAGTTCTTATAACGAATACATATTTTTCAAGTTAGCATAATTAACAGCACCCTGTATACATCTGTTTATAACTATAACACAACTCGAGGATAACAGAGGCAGAAATTGTCACTGATCAGCGTCCTTTAAGCAAGTCGTTTTAGTTTCATTTGTTATGTGATAGTGTTCGGAGCAATCGTCAGATAGCGCTGTTAACGGTCGTACCAGGAATCATAGGAGAGAGTGTTATCTGTAGTGTGGCTAATAATGTGCTCACACGTATTAAAAGTATTACCAAACTAAGAAGACACAATTTGACAGACAATTTCATTGATGCCAAAATCCTAAATCAAACACAATAATACATCTTCAATATCAATTGCATTAGGTAATTGATATACTTTAAAGCTCTAAAGTATTCCTTTACTATCCAATCTAAAATTAAAGTATTTGAATGAATAATGATTTGATATTTTCAAGTATGTGCTTTCTCCTATCCAAAAATACTACATGTATTGTCTTTCCTACCTTCTGTATGGCTACTCTGTATCTGATCCACTACTTGTTTTTTGCTTCTACGGATGATCTCATATCTTCATATCGCCAAGGCTTTTAATGAAGATTCAGATATAACTAGTGACTTTTATACCAACGAAAAACCTGTAAAAAGTTTTCTTTTGAGAAAAGATACATTTTGATTTTTGACTACCTTGTTTTGAACATTTAAAAAGCCAATGAATCGGATTAAAATTAAGTATAATGAAATGGGGTCGAATGTTTAGAGCTTCGAACTTGGATTGAATCGACACAACGCTCGCGGGTTCGAATCTCCGCCTCGAAAGTTAATTCCAAGGATTGGATAGTGTGTTTTGTGTGGTCTATTTCACCCGCCAGATCGAAGCAAGATCAACAATAGGTACATATTGTCGCAGGAGGGGTTTATTCCTTAATCAGTTATCAGCAAATGGGTTACGGAGTAGTGCAGTGTTGGTACTACGGGGTCAACAAAAAGAGTCAAAGATGGCCTAGTTTGCCTCCTCACCACTACTACTTTTAAGTACAATAAAACAAATTGACACAAAATTCAGTAACTTACCTGTCAATACAGCAGATACACAAGACTTCAAACCTTGAATTTTTGAATAGAATACCCAATAGCTTAACTAATAATCAGACACTTAAAATATCTTATATCAATATTCCTGTTTTGATAGGCCCTGTCAACGAATGAAATAAAAGTATATCATTTCATTTAAAAGATACACTGGTTAATTCTATATGTTAGCTACATCAGCCGTTTTTGATAAAAAAATGATTTCAGATAATAGTTTTTTGGTGGAACTGAAAATGAGCAGAAATGTGACAGTTCTGAAATATTTTACTGTATAAAATATTTTGATTGAATTTTTGTTTCCATAAGTTGAGTTGAGTACTACGACAGGAGACTGGAGGAGATGCGTGCATCGTGTACACCCATAGATAATGACAATTCTGGCCAATCCTATGTACATTCCATTGTTTGTCGCCAAAATTGTGGAGTATTTTGGTACATTTGTCCAGCATTGGCTACCAAAGTGACAGGCCAATGCATCGGCGTACATTTTTTAGCAACGCAGAAATGCTAGCTGAGTCGCTCATACATTGTTAATAAACACTAATGAATCAAATAAGGCAAAGAACGAAATAAAATATATATTAACGGTGTTGCACGTGAACAATTCTACTTAATTCGTGATTTTGGAATGCGAAAAATACGAAAAATTGTCGACATCAAACAGCAGCAGTGTCAGAATATCTGATATTGGAAATAATGGGACACTGCTTAAATTCTACCCGACTTTTCTGAATAGCTGTTGAGATCCGAGCAGATTTTTGCCTAAAAACAAATATCTATTTAGTTGTCACTGTGAGTAATATAATGAATTTGCTATTCAGAGATTTTTGGAGCCTACTGAGCTTCCTCACTAGAATCTCGTGGCAATTAAATAAAAGTAGAAGCCTCTCCGAAGAAATTTTAGATTTAAAATTACAGAAGATAAAACTCGTTTCAGTTGGAACTTTTCAGTATTTATCAAAAAAGTGGTTTATGTCCAATGTGTTTCATGTTTCAATGTTATTAGGTATGCAATCTTGTTAACAAACCTTATAGTCAGACTGAGTAAAGAAAAAGTGGGCTGACATAAGTCAAAATTACCTCACAACTGCCCAGGTAAAATCCGAATCGCAACGCCGTATATGTATGACATATTAACACTTATCAATCGATTATTCCGTTTAAACAGATTTCTGCATTCAACATAAGCCTTCAGCATTTTCTGGAACTAACTGGAACACTAGGACCCTATGGAACCCACGCACTTTTATATGTTGTCAACCACTGTCAAACTGGCGGCTTGAGCCTCATCGACTTGTAGAAAGAAGATTTATCCTCACTACAGACAGCGCAAAATTGCACCTACATAGAGACTCATACTTTTATTTGGGTAATTTACATACAATAAAAGTGGGTGTACTGTTGCCAGGTTGCCAATGGGATTTGTCTTACTACAGATGTGCGATGCTACCACATCAAACGGCCACTGTACATGGCCAATAACAATGCCTTCAATCAAATTTCTCCATTTCCAAGAAATAGTCCCCTGAATAAGAAGCCTCTTCCTTTTGTTTCAGTTGCTACCCTCATTCACGAGTGGCATACAAATTCATACCACAATGTACCGGTTACCAACAGACACCACTAACGACATGCTGCGCGTGCGCAGTGTGTTGATAGCGCGAGTGACTCAAGCACTGTTCAGGGCAGGAAAACTGCGTCTGCGCTGTACAGCATTTGTGGACGAGGTGTATAAAGAGAGTGATGACAGGGAGATACAAGAAGACGCACCACAGTTAGCGTTAATCATGGTCAGCACATCCAGATCGTATAACGGTAAGCACTAAACTCTTCGTCGTTATTATAATACTCATAGCTCTTTCAAAATTATCGAACTTATAGATATGATAGATGGAATTCCTGTAACTTCCTAGCTAAGATTTTAAATCAATGTATGTAATTTTTAGCTGGATTAACCAATCAACAAGCTTGGTCGGCGGTCCTCTGTACTGTCAATCATTTCTATCAGTTTGATCAGTTCGTTAGAATGTAGCTAGAATGGTTTATCCGTTTCATTTCGTATTCTGACTGGCATCAATCATTTCTTCCCGACGTAACTCAGATGGATCCCTTCCCATGAATAACTAACTTCATTGATTTATTTGACGTGAAACTCGTGTTTTATACCTTTGAAATTCAGCCAAGAAATTCATGGATTTACTGTCAACGTAAAACGGGTATTAGATGCATACCTTATCACGTGCTAAAATCACGTAGCCTTTCTTTTTACTGTTTTGATCACTTACCAGCAATTTGAATTTCTCTTTATTAAAAGTAGAGTACCGATTCCTAGACCAAACCCTTGTTAATGGTTTTATTTTGGTAAATTTCATAGCTAATTGATTGTAGAATTTCACACGTATTACATCTGTCATTCTCAACGATTCAGTATTGTGTTGAAATATTTTGGACCCTTATGTTATAGTATTATTAACGACTGTCTGAGAAATTTTCACATAAAATATCGTTGGTCCTTCGTAAACAGATTTGTATCTGCCTACAGTCTGCCCATTGGTAACCAGCGCGCCACCTTGTGACTTTACACGTACGAAGGCTTTACAAATATAGGTCTTACAAATATTTCAACGCCTAAGCCTAAACTTATCTGGACAATGGTCTTCTTCCAGTTACAGCCCTAGACGTAGCTGTGAGGTTCTCAGGTCAAAAATCAGTGGCCAGTAGTGAGCAGTGACGTAAGCAACGTCACAAGGTAGGGGTTGCCTGCCTCGTTCTCAAAATTTATGGTATAAAAAAAACCCTAGAGAGATTGAAAAAGACTGTTTAAGAATCTACTCTCTACTCTGTCTGAAACAGGACTACACATTTAAAAGACTCAAACTTGAATAAAAATCTATGTACATTCGCTGATACTAGAAGTGTACTTTTCTTTCTGCAAGGACAAGAAAATATAAAAATATACCAAAGCGGTATACCCTCAGAAAGTTATCCCTTGTTCTAAAATAAGTTATAGCGGCTTAAAATCCAAAATCATGATTAATAAGCCCAAAAGACTGACATGTAGGCACTACCCTGTATTTGAATACGTAAAATGCCAAACAAAATCAAGAACAGTCTCAGAATTTCAGTCAGCAACAATCAATATATCAATATCTATAAAATACCCAATTACAGTGATATTTTACCTGTTCGCATCAGGGTTTTTATAAAGGGGAAGAGATGGCTTCCAACAAAATTGGCTGCGAAACAGCTACAAGGCAGCTACAAAACAAAGATGGAGGAGTGTGAATGGAAGGAATCAGATATTGAACAAACTTCTTCAGGACAAGCATTAATGGACATGATGGTATACAAAAGAGAACTTACCGCTGGAGGTTAAAATCCCATAAAAAAATGGACGGGTGGTAGCACCCAAACCAACACAACTAAACGTAAGGTAGTAAAGGGGTACTACTCCATAAGCTGGTGCTTGGGGCGTTAATATCCCAAAATCAGGAAATTAACGAAAAAAAAGCTCCCGCATACAACCAAAACTACAGCAGAAAGAAAAATGGCGCTGGACCGTCTGCACACGGAACCCCCTAAAAGAAGGTTAAATAAGTTACCCTGAAGAAAACACGTTCGACAGAACATCAAAAGGAACAGATAGAAGCCGGTAAAGAAGGTATCTTGATAGGATGGTAAACATTAATATACGGCTAGTACGTGTAAAAATCACAAGATGGCGTGCTGGTTGCAGATGGGCAGATTGTAGGCAGAAACAAATCTGTTTACGAAGAACCAATGAAATTTTATAAGTAAATTTCTCAGAGTCGTTAATAATAATATAACATAAGTGTCCAAAATACTTCAACACAATACTGAATCGCTGAGAATGACAGATATAATACGTGTGAAATTCTACAATCAATTAGCAATGAAATTTACCAAAATAAAATCATTAACAAGGGTTTGGTCTAGGAATCGGTACTCTACTATTAATAAAGAGAAATTCAAATTGCTGGTAAGTGATCAAAACAGTAAAAAGAAAGGTTACGTGATTTTAGCACGTGACAATCTACTTATTTATTCAAATGATATCACACAAAAATCTGAAGTGTCGAGGGTTAATAACATAGGTAGAATTTGATAAGAGTTTGTGAGTTTCTATGATGAAACGTATTCCTTAAATTATAGTTGTATGAAAAGATATTAACCTCACAATATCACGAAATGTTGATTTCTCAGCTGGTGCGAAGAAATTGACGTGAAACTGCAACTATCAAAATAAGACATCACAAAGTGTCATCTATTACCAGAGTCGACTACCGCTAGAGTGAAAACAGTAAGTTGTCGGCTGGAACTGTATCCCAGTTTGCATTATTAGCCGGGTCAAAACGGTGACCGCTAGATGCCGCCGATTCTGGTGCTGTAAGTGATACGCAGGGGTATTACGTAACTTGAAAAGTGACATTATGTCGGTTTTTTTACAAAAAGGTAACTTGGAACTAGTTGTCATTCACTTTATGCTAACTTGTAGGAAGCGCAGAATGAACTATTTGCACACTAGCCTACTTAGTCAGCAAGTTGACATTTTTTCTGTTTGTTTTTTGTTTGTCATTATATAGGTTTCTTACGTAATAACCCTACTCACCATTGAATAAACTAGTAATATAGCTTCCGTCTGCCCGACCACAGACGAACAACCAGAATCGGCGGTATATAGCGGCCACAGTGACGGCTCACGGTATGAACTGGAATACAGTTCCAGCAGACTGCTTGCTGTTTCCACTCTCGCAGTCAGTGGTTGATTCTGGCAATAGATGGCATTTTGTGCTGTACACTTCGTTAGACCATATACGAGTACTCTGCGTAGAGGATAGTTGGTCAGCGTTCGTGTGTCAACCGACCTCGGACCAAGCCTATGCCATGCTGAGAAGTTGCGAAAGGATTGGCGTGGTCGGACAAACGAAAGCTAGATTGAAACTGAATTTTTTACGATTTTGGTCTCATCGGATAAAGAGTTCAAGGAACTTGATGAAAAATCAACAGAGAAATTTACTAAGATCTGTTTACAATGCATATTATTAAAGTATGCGTTTTTCAAATGTTGGTGGTTCGAGGGGGAAACAAAACCAGCGAGGTAACTACTAACTATCGGTCTCTTTCTACAATCTAAACATTTAGTAAAATGTCTTTTAAGAAATTCGTAATAGTTTTGTAGTTATTTTCAAAAAAAATATACGTCAAATCCAAAGGTTATAGGAGTCAAATCCAAAGGTTATAAGAACGGAAATAGAGGCTATCATTACTTTTCATTTTTTTTTTTGTTTTTACCAATTTTTAAAATAGTTGTCAATGGTACGTGATTTTCATTTTTGTTTTTTTTTTTTTAGTGGTCGATCTGGTTACTAAACCGAAGCTACTTGTTCAATGCTATACCTTTATCGTTCGAACTTAAAAGAGTAAAACTAATGTTCCCATCTTACTAGTTCAACCAAGCTTCAACTGTGCGAAGTCATAAAACTGAAGCATTGCTTTGCACCATTTGAGTGATCATCTGAAAAATGATATTGATTTTCCATATCGAGTAATAATTATAGGTAGGCAATAGTGTCTCCAACATTGTCTCGTGAAACTTTCCTATCCTCTCAGAATAGAATCGTCATGAAATAGCTAATACCGCTAAAGCTTTCTCACGATTTCTTCACTCAATAAATCATTTATTAACGAATTCTACCTGAAGATCGCTAACCTTATGCCATATCCGCACGTTCGAAAGATTATTCGGGACTAAAAAACCGTCGCGTCCTCTATGAGAATTTGTTACAGCAATGTCTCTCCTCCCTGCAATAATCATAGATCTACTTTGAAAAGATTTGTGGATCTTTTTTTTTTTTTTAACGAGGGGGGAATGCATTTACGCACCATACCATAGCACGAGCTATGGCGTGTGTGGGGCTCCATGAGGAGATCACCTAATACCCACTAAACCCTAAACCTCCGCGTGGCCCGACTCATCAGCGTCTCGGTAGGCCATGTGTTGTGCGTGACCTGCGGTCTGCTACAACGTCTCCTCATGTGTTTCAGTCTCTGGGAACGCAGGGTTGGTTCCCTTTACCTCGCACATTCTATCGATGTCGTTAAGCGATCATCGATAGAGGGTCTGCTGGTTCTCTTGAAACCCTTGTTTTCGAAAAATCAAGAGTTTCAAGTCCTCTTACCATAATATATTGTGGATCCTAGATAGCGCAAAAGCTATATGCTCATATATGGCTGGCTACAGCGCCATCTAGGAGAGGATTTAGGAACCAGTAACCTTTTCAGAGTAGACCTCTATGATGATCGCGGAGAGGAGAGATATCGGTGTGACAAATTTATCTTGGATAATTTTACTGACGCGCAAATATATATTAATTCAGCTATCTAAGTTAATAAATGGTTAAATATGCTTTAATATTATATATATATACATTCCATCTTTAATCATCCAGGTACCAATATTGCGACATCGATACTTCATTCCAAGCTACTCACAGCTATCTTACTCATTATCGAGATAACGTATTGGAGTTGGACAAGAAACACTAACAGCATGGACAATCGGTGATCTGTGTAGTGCAATTACATGAACTTAAAAACAGATAATGTGATTTTAACCTTTATGTTACGTGTAAAAAGTTCAGATGAATGAATTTAGATTTTAAATAAGACCCTTGTTGTATGTTACATTTGGTAACAATCTGAAAATATTGCGGTGCTACTAAAATCTAGAATACATGAGTTGAGCTGATCGTGAATCTAGTCCAGAATGTTAGTATTATAATATTATAGTTACACTTTATAAGATTGCTTCAATATACCCACTACGATGATTACATAACCAAGTTGGGGCATAGTGTTGCTCACATTTCCCAACTTTTGAAATTCTTGTGGGCTCCGTCATATGACTAATTTTTGAGATGCATTACCAAGAGATGGGTATGATAGGAGTTGTAATCACTTTATCACCCAGCAACTAGAAACGTAATATGCCTCAACCGGCTCAAGCATTTTTCATGTACTTATATTTCTATTTTGATATAGCATGGTTGCTATATAATTTACCACGCGAGTTGTCCCTGGCGATAGTGTCTCTCGGCAATGTATCCAAAAATTACTGAATAGTTGTCTATAGTTTCGACATTATCACATCAAGGTATAACAAAAAACGAAATTAATAATCAAAAGACAGTCCATAATACCAGTTTTAGTTACTTGTTAGTCTCACAATTCACTAATGGATCCATTTATCTCAGTTTATTTAAAGCCATTATTAGAGCATCTCAGTATAAGTAACATTTTTTATCCATTGTAATTGTACAATATATGAGGGGTGTACTTTACTGGAGGCATAATGTAGCAACCCGCAGTATTTTCGGATGTTTTTCGGATTCAAAATAGATGTGAATAACTGTGCTCCAAAGGTAAGTGTGATTACTGTAAAGAAGTCCGTTATGTCAATAAGTAGGTACCTATTATTTCTGTAAAGTTTGCATAGAAGTTCTGGAAATAGCACACATACTGAAGATGTATGTGAAGTGTCCTGTAGGTTTGACACCAACTTGGAGCTTGAAATGCGTCAAATAATTTAATTATCATACACAATTTATTTTTACGCGGAACTAAAGTTTCTGATACTAAAAAGACCTGTATCAGTTTTTCTGTTCGACGGCCTATTTTGCAATTATATACATTTATTGTTAACATGTAATTTTAATTATGATTTTTTTATTATCACTTGAATTTGGATGATGATTTTGAAAGTGACAGGCTGTGTTGTGGGTAATGTCATATTCTCAAAAAATGGTCTACTAGTAGTACCGACCACTAGCAAATATGGTAAATTATCCAATTGTTGGGACTGCGACAGTAATTGGCACCTTTGAGGAATATAAGTTAGTGTTAAGCAACCCACGTTTATTTGCTGATATGCGTTTTCTACCATAATCTAGCAACATTCATCATATTGTGTTTTTTTTATATATCTGATCAGCTATAGTCAGATCAAACGGGTATGAGTGTGGATGTGTCTGTGCACCTTAAGATATAACGGTAAGAATTTACAATTTATCAAGGTTATGCTGCCACTGAAAAATCAATGACTTCTAACAAAATTGCAGTAGCGATGGGAGGATGTTTTGTATAGGTTCAGTAATATTTGATTTTGTGACAAATATTGACTTTTATGGGTAAAATATGCAAAATTCTTGTTTTTAGGGGGTACCAATAAATGTAATGTATAAAACACCGTTTTCAGTTGTTGATAGCGAGAGGCCAATTACTGTGTTTTTAGGATTCCGATAAAAAATACGTTTTTAACTTTATTTTTCATAAATAAGACTGGACCTTTATGAAAAAACGTTTCAAAACCTTTTATATACAAGCCTAAATAGTAATTAGCACCATTCCAACAAATGTCAAAAATGGGATGTCAGTAACTGTACTTGCCTTATTACATGAATGTCGACTGCAGAGAAAAATAAGTAATATAGCGAAGAAATTATTCATAGAGCAATTGAACAAATTCAGAATGGTGCCACAAACAAAAGCATCTTTAAAAGATAGAACATTCCAAAGTCCATACTCCAATTCAGGACAAGTAAAAAAATTAGTAAGGTTTCAGATGGTAACACTTCACGAAGAGAAATTAAGTGCTAATGAAATGGATCACTGAGAGGTCCCTGAAGGGATTTTCGCAAGAAAAGGAAGATATGCGAATTAGCGCTAAGATCTTTCTGGACGAACATTCTCTATCAAATCCATTTACCGACAACTTGCCTGAAGACGGATGGTACAGAAGCCTTCTTAGTCAATTCAAGAATGTTGTTGCAAAAGGATATATCAAAGAATTTTCTAATCCTGGTGAAACTTATCGTAAAGATGTCCGTTAACTGTATGAACTTTATAAAATGTTCACAACGAATCGCTGCAATAGTGAAACAATGTCTACTATGGACAGTCAGTTCCAACCAGATACAGGCATGTCAGATATCAGCTTAACCAGCAAGGTGGGGTAGATGCCAAAACAAGGCATTTAGTAGGTATGACACTAGATTCTAGCTGTTGCATCGAGGGCATGTTGGATGTAGCTGACTTCAATAATGTCCAGACATTCAGGATGGAGGATATTACCATATGCCATCTATATCCAACCAACACCAACGAATCACCAGTGACCAACGGTACCGGAATTTGTAGATAATTTATCTGTATTATATCAGGAGATTATTATTAAAATCCGAATGCTAGGATTATATAAGAATCTCGTAGTACCGTACTCAGTATATGCAGGGTATTTGTTATTTTTATTTTTTAGTTTATATGACTTGTTGAGACTGAAAAAGGTCTTTTCCGTTTCCGTTTAAGCTTATTATAGCACCATTGTTTGAAGTAGACTGGGTTATGAGCTGAGTTAAACAACCCTTATTGTACAAACGACTTTAGAGACTGACAGAAGTATAACATTAAAATCAAAATAAACATAACAGAACTTGAGATATTCAGATACTTTACAAAGTGCTATAAATGTTCTAGGGTTACCCTCATTTAAGACCACTTCATACAATTACATAAGTTGCGTTTTTGATTGTGTGTTTCAGAATATATATAGTTATTTTTTGTTATATTACATTCTTATTACTATACACGAGTGTTATTGATATCCTCTCTATATGATAATTACACCTTATATTAATGAGTGCCAACAACTGTCCTATAGGGTGATATTAACTGTCACATAGGTGCCAATAACTTACGGTTAAAACAATTTGCCTTGAAACCTGTTAAAAAAGCGTAATTTTTTCTGCAAATTCGGAATCCTCAATGTTTATACAATGAATTTCTATACAAAATACTGGCCGTGTAGCTTGCGCACTAAACACAAACAACCACCATGTTAGCTTCGTGTCCTTAAAGTGCCAATAACTGGTTATTTACCCTATCAGAAAAGCAGGAAAGTATCAAGACATGGTAATTCCATGATGGAGTTCTCGATCCTTGTGGAGCGTGATGAAATAAATTATTCGTAGAGATTATTCATTCAATTAAACATTTTAATATCGTGGCATTTACAATACAATAGTGCAGGTCAAACCTATTGTTCTAATGAGCATGTACTTCATACCGTTGGTTATTTATAGGAGGTTTGTTACATTGTTAAAATCCATGCAATAAGATCAGGTGTTCTACACCGAGGCATAATTGCGTTTTCAACAGCTGAAACAAATTGTTAACATCCATTCTTTGCCCGTTTGTTGGTAAAATGGAAATTGTGCATTGAAGGGGGTATCTATCCCTCTGTACTTCCCACCAAAGCCATCAGCTACTAGAATTCGATTTTTATTCCGGATGCTAACAGAACTTAACTAGAATCCATGTCAAACTATTGGCGTCAGAGGATAGATATTGTTTTCCACACCTCTGATGGAAGCATAATATTCATTGAAGAAATAAGGTCACATTTTAAGGACATGAACTGGAATAATTTACTCCAGCACACCTGTAATTTTTCAACTTCGGAGTGTTCTCCGCTTCGCGCTGTAAAGCAAAAGTGAGAAGGTTACGTTTTTTAGATAACACACTGACACTGCGTTGAAATAGAAATCTTATAAAATGCCACGGTCTCAACAGATAGTACATTATAATAAATGCAAGTATGTTTGAATCTGACTTCTAACTTAGGTCCTGGTCGTTTCTCGTTTATCAAAAGTATTTGACGCAAATTAGTGCCTAATTCAGACAACTGGCGATAGAAGCTCTAACGTTTTGTGTGAATAGCTAGAAAAAACAAAATAAATACTCAGCGAATCCACTTGACGCAATTTCTTCATCCGCCACTCAAAACCGCTGGAGGAGTTATCAATGCAAATTTATACACGAAGTTGAATCCACTTATGGATCTAAACTTTTCACCAGGAAATCTTGCTCGAATACGATCGTCCCATAAAATACTCTTTTATATTTCTCGGTATGTTTATATTCACGCGTTTATGGGGAGAGACGTCAGATATTGTGACAAGATTTTCCTCAGGAAAATATGCATGGATTGTCGCTTCCTTTACATATTGCCAAACATTTCTACAAGCGTACAATTGGAAATCTTATCCAAGCAAAAGATAAGCTATTTACTGCCATAGTTCAACACATCGAAACATGAAAACAAATAAAAAACCTCATCGTATGACATTCTAAATACTGCCTCGTACTCTTAAAGGTGTGCAGTGATCTTATACAGCGTGGCCCAACGAAAAGGTCGCACCCCGATTTGTGACTATCCTGGTATATTATGTGAAAACACTCGGACACGTCAATTTTGATTTGATTATTATATTTACGATATGTTTACAATATATATACATATAACTTGAGACGTGGTCATTGTCGTCTAGATCAGTTAGGTGAAAAATTAGATAGGATATTGCACACTTTTTTCGGGACACCCTGTATATGTATATATATATAAATATTAAAGCTTCCGCCTTTTGTTGGGTACTTCGACAAAATTTAAGCAAGGAGGACTCTGTATACTTTTTTAATCTCTCTAGCTTCCAATGGTCTCTGCGATCATCATAAGGAGCTGCAATTACATTGATAAAAGTAGCAACAATTATATAAAATGAATTTAAATTAACTTACAGTAGTATGTGAGGATGTTGCTAGATGTTATTTACGTTAAGGATGAGGGAAACACCCAGTAACATGGTGAAAGCTGGATACATGGTACAATAGTCAAAATTATACAAACTACACACAGCTGTATGACAAGAACAAATTAAAAACAGATTAAAAATATTTAAAACGAAAGTTAAGCTTTACATCGTGAAGCCACTTGATGATTGCACAAAATGGTGGGCATAGAATCATGAGTAAGATGAACCTTTTGACAGATATTTTGTAAGGCGTGTGCTATGTTGCCAAATCACTGGTGTGGTGTGATTTTCAAGATATGTTGGGTAAGAACTTGTCAAACCGACCAGAGGCATTTGAACTAACTATATTATTATGAGATGGGCAATTGAATTAACAGTTATTATTTAATTATGAAAAAACAATTATTCAAATTTGAATGGAATGGATTTTTTTGGTGGAATAGACCAAAAAACAGATTCCATTTATGGTTGTGAAAAGTCAAATTTGGATAGATGTGCTCCAATTTTTCGCAGTTTAGCAAATTTGAATAAATGACACTCAGTTGCTTAACATCTGTCTTCTTATTGATACAGTTGTCATTCATGAAAATGTGGGACATTTCCAGGAATAAACATTTGGATAGGTGTTTTTCTTTATCAAGAACTTTGATACTTGTGTAGTTCATAGAGTGCCCTATTGTGTTGACATGAGATGCCAGAGCACATCTCTCGGGATGAAGCCTATAATCACTTTTGTGTGATGTGATCCTTCCTTTTAGAGATCTGAAGGTCTGACCTATGTATATTTGGTTGCAATTGTTGCAATTGATAGAGTAGACTGTGTTGGTTAAGCCAACCAGCGGGATTCTTTCATCTTTGAAAAAATGCAGTTTATAGTGAGCAAGCAAGCAATTCGACAGTTCAACGGACTGCATAATCTGATCAGCTTAGGGGTCAGTTCCTTGATATAGGGCAGGACACCATCTGAAGCGATTTGGCAACATATCACACACCTTACAAAAGAATCTTCGTTCCATCCATCTACAGGGACACTGCTAACCTTCGGCCATCTGTCGAAAGGTTCATCTTACTCATGATTCTATGCCCACCATTTTGTGCAATCACCAAGTGGCTTCACGATGTAATGCTTAACTTTCGTTTCAAATATTTTTAATCTGTTTTTAATTTGTTCTTGTCATACAGCTGTGTGTAGTTTGCATAATTTTGACTATTGTACCATATATCCAGCTTGTTATGGGTGTTTCCCTCATCCTTAACGTAAATAACATTTAGCAACATCCTCACATACTACTGTAAGTTAATTCAAATTCATTTTACACAATTGTTGCTACTTTTATCAATGTAATTGCAGCTCCTGATGATGACGGCAAAGACCATTGAAAGCTAGAGAGATTAAAAAAGTATAAAGAGTCCTCCTTGCTTAAAATTTGTCGAAGTACACAACAAAAGGCGGAAGCTTTAAGTTTTCACCTATATATATATATATATATATATATATATACACCTATATATATATATATATATATATATATATACACGTATATATATATATATACTGGGTGGCCCATCTATGTGTGAACGGATTATTACTCAAAAAAAATTGGGAAAATTTGAGGGCACATTTCTGAAATATTGACAATTATACAGGGTGTCCCAATTTTGACCTTCATATCAAAGTTGTGATTTTTTAAATTCAATGTCTCAAATTTTATTGCATATTTCGATAAACCAATTCAAAAGAAGACGATTGATATAACATACTATGTAGATTTGGTAATTAGCTACTGAGGTGTAATGTGTTTTGAACAGATAAACCGTCCACCTCGGCAACCCCTCAATCCGCCATTTTGAAATTTGGAATGCTGAATTTTTTATCAAAAAAAACTTACAGGTATCAGCTCTTATCTTATTTATTACTTTTTCGAATTTTCATTTTTGCTCATACAGAGTGGTCAAAATCGCGAATTGTACTTTTTCACAAAGATTTCAAATGCATCACCCTGTATATTTGTGCAGGTTTGGATTCAACTATTTATAAGCTTTTTTTTGGTATGAGCTTTGATTCAGATAAAATCACTAGATTTTCAGTTATTAAGCTTTTAATAGAACAACACACCAAAATTAAGGAAAAAATCACATCATTCATGGAAACAAAAGACAAACAGTGGGCTAGTTCCATATTGCCAGTAAGAGTTCAGATTTGACGTAAAAAGTAATGACAATCAGAACAGAATAAATCAGCT